ACTTCTTGCTAATATAAACCCTAATTTAGTCTGTTTCAACTAATGTAGATGAAGCTCTGAGGCACTAATCAGCAAAAGATCCAAGGCAGTGAGTGTCTCTCAAACTTCCGCAAGCATCAGGATCACCTGGAGGGCATATTAAAACATAAACAGGTGGTTCCCACCCTCAGGTTTTTAGATTCAGTTAGATCTGAGATATGTTGCTCAGTGGTAAAGCACCCCTACCTTCAATCCCCAGGACTGAAAAAAAATGCATTTTTAATAAACTTCCAAGAGATGCTGATACTACTAAACAGGAACTATACTATGGGAACTACTAATTTACATTAAAGAAAACCACTAATGATGGCGTAAGAAGCAAAGAAGAAAAAGTATACAGGATCCAATCTCAGCTTCAATATGAAACTGCATATACTTTTAAGTGGCAATTAATCTTGTTAAAAGTCCTTTCTTTAAAAATTTAAATGATAATTACTGATTAATTCACAATAATATTGGGTCTTATCTAAGAGAACTTTAATGTTCTTTTAGACTCCTGGAAAAATAAAATCAAAAATAAGTAATTTTTAGATTACCAACATGTTCAATGGCTGATGCAAATTTCTAATAACAATATCAAGTTTGTAGGTTCAACCTAGTAGCTTCACTTTGCCCTACATCTATAGTTTGCAACGCTAATTCTGGCCAGGTCCCTCCAAAGAAATTCCAAGAGTCACAATGTGAGCAAAAATGTGATTGTACAAAAATCCATCACCACTACTGAATTAATATGTCAAGAGCATACTTCCTACCAACATATCACCTTTAAGAGACCTTGAAGCTGAAACTAAAGAGAACACCTTGCAATAAAATGTTTTAGAAATCTCAGAAACTCTTCTACCTCTTCAGGCTATAAATATAATAAAAATTCATGAAAACAGAAATCCAGGATTTGCTATTTTAAAACAATGGTAATCTTAAGGAATAGCAATTTAAAAATGCAATTAGTTGGGGACTACTTTGAGTATGTGTACTCGCCCTTTGTTTTGTTTTTTTAATGTGAATTAAATGTAAATATGGACTGCTCAAAAATACTAATGAACTTATCATCTAAAAATCATCTGATTAAAAAAAAAGACTGGGACAAAACAGTAGTGGCCAGAAGAGAATAATGAAACCATAAAGTTATATGATGGATTAAAAAAAAAAACAATTTAATAAAATGAATGACAAGAGAAAAGGGAGCCAAAGTAATCAAGAATAGCAAAGGGTAAAACAGATAAGTGAAAGGGACCATAATAATATTAATATAGATAAGATTGGGAACTGAAAAAATAATGCACTCAGTAAAATCCACATAAAATTAACTTCAGCTTGAATCTAAAATAGTAATTGATCAGACCAAAATAAGAAAACCTTTTCAATCCCTTGAATGGGAACTATAAATAGGATTAGTGGTGAGAATTCAGATAACATTCTTTTATTTAGATGTTCACAGAGCACATGTTTAGCACTTGATATCTTACTATTTGATTACACATAATAGAAAGTAAAATAATGAAAGAAACCTACTCAAGCACAGACTGAAAAATGGAAATAATACTGTACAAACTGAAAAATGAAAAAATAGACTACGAGGGCAAAATGTATAGTTCTGAGTGTCAGGCCTATCTTAGCATCCAACTTACAATCTTGTTTTATTTATATTCCATACAGTTCCATTTACATCAAAAACCAACAAGACCAATAAGAATAAAATTAGGGACCACAGCAAGATTATCAGTATGCTAAGTGAATTTTTTCACAACTCTCTCTGAGAGGCTGGACACATGCAAAGACTAGTCAACAGCAGAATACACAAGAGTTGATAAACAGTTTGCAGAAGTCGAGCAATACCAAGCAACACTCAACAAAGAATACTACTTTTTTTAAGGATGCTAGATGACAAAACCACAATTGGTTAGAGAACAGCTATCTGAATTATCATATAAAGAGTAAAACTACTCTTTTATGATCAAAGGCATCAATTCCATGGTCTAGAAAAGTTAAAGGCAACAGCAACTCTGAAACAATTACAAATGTATATGAAGACTCAACCTATTGAGTTTAATACACTGTATAATGGCCAAAAACTTCAACAATGTGTGTCATTTTCAAAAACCAATGGGCCACCAAATAGGTTGCTGTACTATTTTTCAGATTTATGTCCATCCTTCTTCCCGGAAGGACTCAACACATCTATCAATAAACATTTAAACATAAGATAATATTTCAATTCAGTTCATCTCATGGTAGAAGTATCTAAAGAAACTAGAGCTAAATATATTACCAGTTTCAATTATATATTTGATCTAAGTATCTTGCTAAGCTGAAGAGAAAGTCACATAGTTTCTATTTTCTAACAACCTGATAGCACTCTTTTTTTTGCATAAATAATTTTTCCACATAGCTAAATTCAGCAGAAATTTGTCAACTCTATTGTAAAAGACATTCTGTGACACATTTAACAGTCTTAACTATTATATAACTATATTATATAGCTTTATCAATATATCAAAACAAATGCACAAGAAAATTTTCTAATTGAGCCTCTATAAAAACAAAAACCTAAAATAAACTACACTTAATGGGTGACACTATTACAAAAAACTGAGATAACATAGTCAAAACACTGATATTTTGCTTTGTCACAGGTTAACAAAAAGTAAAAACATAAAACTAGATAGAAATTTAACAGCTTTTAAAACTATCCTGCTTGCGTTTTAGATCATCTGTGACTGTTAGTCTAAATGAAGTTTAGAATTTAAAAGTAAGCTTTCTAACAAATATATATGATGAAGCTATTATACATGTTGATTAGAAAGAGTGCCACAAATGAATATTATGATTAATGAAATTTAAAATGTGAAAGTGTGGTTGGGTAACTTCTATACGTAGATAGTCAATAAATGTTATTTTTCTATCTTACCTAGGAAAGAAAGCTGGTTTTCTTTTCTGGAAAATATGAAATTATACTTCTGACCAGAAAGGAGACTAACTTACTATAGTCAAAATTCTATCTAGTTGTTCTTATTTTCTCAAATCCATGTATCAGTTAACGCATTTTTTATTAAGAAATAAAGACAGATATATAAACTTTAAACCTGTTGAACTTTGTTTCTTTTCAGGAAACTAATGTGTTACAGTGCAATAGTTAGGAACATTAGTTTTTAATAACAGATAATATTTATTTAGTCTAATTTCAAAATCCAAAACAGTTGTTTGCAAAGGTAATGCCTTAATAATTAGTAAATATACATTCACCTTACTAAGTAATGTCATTAAAAGCAAAAAAAAAAAAAAAAAATTAGAGTGTCAAGATACCTAGATTTTCTACATCAATCCTATATTTTAAAAGATTAGAAAACTGAAGACTAGAAAAATTAAATGATACAGGACAAATAGCTAATGACTTCAGCATGCAGCTTCCTGACTTTCAGTACTTTCTTCTAACATACTGTAAGGCCTCCTCTAACTGCTCTCTCCTGCATTAGAATACTAGCTGTGTCATCTGTTTTCATTGTATTTTATTATTCTGAATATTAGTTGTCATTTGTAACTTTCCCATAAAACTATAATTTTCCAACTTTTTTAATGAAAGGTTTTACTGTTGAGCATGTAAATCCTCAACTTTCTAAATTTAATTTTAAAATTTTGAAACAAATGTATAATGTATATAATGAGAGGAAGAGAAAAATTCTTATCTCTTGATAATTTAATGCACAAATTCAATATATCATTGAACACCTAAGACATGCTGGGTCTATGTTAAGTTCTAGAGATATGAAGATGATTCATATGGTCTTTGCCTTCAAACAGCCTATAATCTACTAGAAAAGAATTAAACCAACAATTAAGAGTATAGTTGTTAAGAACTGAAAATGGAGTGGGTCTGAACTATACATGCATATAATAATAGAAAGAATCTAATGTGGAATGATGAGATCAGTCAAAGGTTCCTCAATGAGGTACTGAATATCCATGGGGGAAAAAATAGCAGTACCACCATAGAGCAGTAGAGTCCAAAACGAATTAAAAGACAGAGCAATTTCAATTTATTCAAAGAAAAAAAAATGAAAATTGTGTGCTCTCACACAGCAATTTAGTATCTAGTAACACACTGTTTTAGTGGAAAAGACCTGATTTCATTGTAGCTTTATAACACTATGTCTTAATAAAATTTTAAATTACCATTCTAAAAAGACTGTATCTAAAACATGTCCAGTTAATATTCACAACAGCTGTCTACAAAGATGTATACAGTCCTCCTCAAAAATCTAGAATAAAATACCCATATGTTACCAGAGAAATGACAACCTGTAGAACCAGCAGTCCAAGAGGGATGAAAACAAACATTCACTTTGCTTTCTTAAACCAGTAAGGACAAAGACTATTCAAATACTGACTTTCAGCCGGAAGACCGAGAACTCAAAGCACAGGGGACATTTTTATTTACATATTTAAGCAAAACTGGAGAATGGGGAGAGAAATGAAAGTGTAGGGCAAAGCGTGAAAGAGAAGCGATGAAAAAGGAAAAAAAAGGCGGAGCTGAATATGAACACAAAAACTAAAGACGTAAGAACGGATGGAGGAAAAAGTGACGGATGGTTTTGGAAAGAGTGCTAAAGACAAAAAGCAAAAAATGAAGGGGAAAGAAGTTGGGGGAAGGGCTGTCCAAAGAAAAAATTGAAAATCAAAGATAAGAAAAAATAATGAACTGGAGCTATGAATACCCGGGAAAAAACGAGACTGAATAAGAAAGGTGAAGGGACCCAAAAAGAAACAGCGAGTTTTCGACCTCCTTTTCCTCACCCTCTATGCCCCAGAGAGAGAGAGGAAGAAGTAATTTCCAAGTCTCAAAGAAGAAATTCCGGAGCAACCTTCAGGAACCAGAATCCTTGAGTTGGGGCACCATCCAGCGAGTTCCCGGCCCCTCTCCATCCCCCTCGGACGCTGGGCGGGGCCCTGGGAGTCTGGGTTACCTGGACAGGGAGTCCACGCTGGGCGGCCGAGCCGCTGCGGGCTGGGAGCCCAGACTCTCGCAGCTCGAGCTCTTCTCCATGGCACGGCAGGGGCAACGGGAGCAAAAGATTGAAGGGACCTCCGCGACTGCCAGGCAGGGAGCGGAGGGCGGAGTGCACCAGGCAGGGGCCGCGGTCAAGCCAGCGCCGGCCCGGGAGGAAGACCGGAAGCGGCCATGTTCCCCCAGACTGCACCGCGCCCGGGGTCTGCGGCCACGGGAGGACCCCGCGGCGCCCCTCGGACGCCGAGCCTTAAGCGCTGCGCTCCCTGCGTACCTCTGCCCCGCCCCACGCACGCCTGCGGGCTGGGGCGGAGGGGCGTGAGGCCTGGAGGGAGGAAATTCTGGAGATGAGGGGAAAAGGGAGGATCTCAAGGGAAGAAAGAAACCAGGAGCTGACGGCGTGGGAAGGATTGAGACAGGGATGTGATGACAAAGAAAATGAGAGGAATAAAGAGAGGAACGTGGGTAGGCTGTCGGATCTAGAGGCAGAAGGAACGTGCGGTGTGGGGAGCAGGGAACGAGGAGAATGGGGGTATTTAAAGAATGGGGGACCAGAGATGACAAAGTGTTCATCAGAACAAGGGGCTGAAAATATTGATTGTGGGATGAGAATGGTTTATGTAAAGGCTGCTTGGAGCCACGAAGACATGGATTGAGAGTCTAGCTCTGCTATTTACCTGCAGTGTAACCCAACAGCTTCCTTATCTTAAAAAAAAAAAAAAAAAAGGAAGAATAATCTCACAGAGATGTATTTATAAGTGCTTGGCAAGTAATAAGCACACAAGTTTTAGCCATTAGTAGTCCTACTTAAGAAGGGTGTGTAGGATGGATTGGACATAAACTAACAAATTCAATAAATGGTAGATGTTATGAGTAGGAGCTATAGGAAGGGTGGCAGAACAGAAAGAAGGGGCTGGTAAGGAAAGGGTAGCAGAAAATATAGGTGAGGGAGTATGGAATGCTCAAAATTGTTTTCTTTCCACCTCTGGCCAGCATTGTAGAACAAGCACTGGGTCGACTGTGGCTTGGATTTATGGATTTGTGTGATTTGGAAGTGTCTATAAAGGAAACGCACTTTGACATTAATCCATTGTCCACAGAAGGAAGTATGGAAGAGGGTTTGGAGGGGGAACTGATAAACACAAAAAGAATTAAATAAATAAATATATATATATATATATATATATACACACACTACTGAATGTCTTGGTTTTGAACACGGAACCAACTTAGTGATTCCTTACCCTTTCAAATTCCCCCTGCAAAGCAGGAAGTGAGTGAGGAAAGATAAAACTGTGATAAGAGAACAGGAACTGGGTAAAGGGGAAATGTTTCTGTGGGTAATTTTCTGTTACAAAGTATTCCGGAAGAACATAGAAAGGACACCATAATGGAATTTTTCAAATTGAGACTGAATCTCAGTCACCTCATGTGTGGGTAATCAGGGTCCAAAGACTGACCTTTCTACAAAAAGTAACTAAAAACTCTAGATAACAAAAAACTACCAGAGGAGTCAGGAGCTTAAAGAGAAGCAGGCAGAGTAAAAATTTGGAGTACATGACCAACAGAATGAATTTCCTTTTTTTTTTGGTGGCTTCAGTTAATGGACAGCCAAAAACTGTGAAGCAGCACAGAATGGTAAAAACTCCAGTAGAAAGTGTGCTATCTTTCTAACAGTAAGGAACCCCAGTTCCTGGGGGCACACACCTGTAATCCCAGTGGTTCCTCAGGCAGAGTCAGGAAAACAAAGAGTTCAAAGCTAGCCTCAGCAACTTAGCTAGGCACCAAGCAACTCAGTGAAACCATGTCTCTAAATTAAAAAAATACAAAAAAGGGCTGGAGATGGGGTTCAGTGGTTAAGTGTCCCTGAGTTCAATCCCCAGTACCAAAAAAAAAAAAAAAAAGGAACCAAGAAAAGGGAGCCCAGGGAAGCTGGAAAGTGAGGCAGGAATTTCAAAAGGAGCAAACCAGAAAGGAGGACTCTAAACTGTATATGAACTTATTTCTTGATTTAAGTCCTAATTCGATTTGAACAACATAAGAACAATGCAAGCGATCCAGATACAGAACCAAAAGTAAGATATCCCTCTTACTTGTTCAGATGAAGAACTGAAATGAGATTTAAGTTGTTACCTATATAAGCAAGACAGTTTGTGTTGAACCAAATTAATTTTCTACCAAAGTATCCATACTTTCCAGAGGAATATAACGAAAATTCAGAGATTCCAAAAGATAATTTTCAAAATATCTAGGGCATGATCAAAAATTACTTTAAGTGCCAATTACATAATTCAAAAGTACCAAGAAAATCACACAAATTCTCAAAAGATTATCAAAAGATGCTAAACTCAAGAGGACATGTTGGAATTATCCTACAATGGTTTAAAGCATCTAATATTAATACATTCAATGAAGTAAAGAACAGTATACTGTTCTAAATGAAAAGACACTAAATCTCAGCACAGAAATTGAATTTTTTAAAAAGAGGTATAAATACAAATTTTAGGAAATTCATTAAATAAACTCAATAAAAATATTCAGTGGCTGGACCTAATGGCAAGAATGGACTTGATAGAGAAGAATATAAGGAACTTGGAAGACAAATCAGTATAATTTATCCAATCTAAAAAACTTTTCAAAAAATGTTAACAGAATCTGAGACACATGTGGGACAATATCAAATTGTGTAATATACAGGTAATTAAGAGTTTCAAAAGAAAAGAATTAGGAAAAAGAAACTGAGTAGCCAAAAACTTACTGATTTTGGCCAACAACATAAATTTACATATTTAAGATGTTAAACACATAAAATATGATAAATACAAAGAATAAAAAGAACAAAGAAAATCATGACTTAATGTATTATGATCAAACACTGAAAAATAAAGAGAAACTGAGGAGAGGGGATTTGGCACTTATGGTCCCAAAAGGAAGAACCACAATTCTAAAGAGCACAAAATACCTAGCAAGTACTGATAGTAGAAAATAGTAGAATAACTTCTTTAAAGTACTAAAAGGCTGGCAAGGGAGGATGAAAGAATTCTATATATACAGCAAAACGTTTTTCAAAAAGGTATAATAGGGATGCAGGTTATTGCTCAGTGATAGTGCTGACCTAGCATGTGTGAGGCCCTTGGTTCAATCCCTAGTACCATCCCCAAAAGAGTAAAATAAAGATGATTTTAGATCAAGAACAGTTGAGATAATTTATTACCAGCAGACACACAACTACAAGAAATGAATTCTAAAGGAAATTCTTCAGGTTTGAGAGAAGTGATACTGAAGGAAACTCAGACATTCAGGATGAAGATTAGGAATGGGAAAACCTGGATAAATGTAAGCAATTAATTTTCCTCTAAATTTCTTTAAAATACATACATCTGTTTAAAACAAAAATTATAGCATTTTCTTATGGACTTTCTAATACATGTATACATAATCTATGTGAAAATAAAGATTGTTAAGGTTGTTGGTAAATGGGCCTATATAATTGCAAAGTTGCTATATTTTATGTAAACTTGTACAATATGCTCTAAAGTTGTTTTATGGTAAGGTATGTTTTATTATTATTATTATTATTATTATTATTATTTAGAGATTAGAAATAAAAGTCCTGTGGCATTGGCAGTTTAATAACATGAAGCGACATAAGGGACCAAAGTGTAGACTTTAACTGTACTGCCCATCTTCTTAATATTTATACTGTTCATCTTCACAAATAATTTATGCAATTCTTACAGTCTTTGGAGTTAAAATCATTGAAGATGAACAATAAAATTTCCTTTGCTAACATATACTTCTATAAGTTTCTTGGTTAAATTCCTATAATTTCCATATTTTCACTACACCATGCTTTTGAAGACGAAGGGGATTAGCAAATTATGCTGGTATACTTAAGTAAATCATGCTGCAATCCGTATTTTTCCAAAATGTATTAGTTTTATAAATGTATTTTAACAATATAATACACCTACAAAATTTTTGTAGGAAATCTCTCTGTAAACATTCTTGCTCATTATTAAATATTGCTTGCAAAAATCAGAGATTATTGCATATTGATCCCCTCTGTGAAGTTATGATTAGATTCTATTAAGTTCCCCACAGATACAATAATAGAAAAAGGTCAGAATTTCCAGCTCCTGACAATATGATGAAATGATGTGGGCTCTGTCTTCCTCCCCAATGCAACACTTACAGCTGGAGGGAAACTGGTGCAGCTGAGAACATAACGTAAAAACTGAGAAGTCTTTTGAGAGGCAGAAAATAGCTAGAGTCTAGTGAACGGTGGAGAATAGCAGCCCATATAAAAAGTGAAGAAAAAATATAAATATTTTTCTTTTTTGCATATTACCATGATTAGATCTTTCTCTTCCTGTTTCTTCTGCAAAGCAGAAAATAAATGCCAGCCCCGTATCAAGGAATGGAAGGGCAACCACAATGTGGTGCTATAGCCAGCTGGAGTAGGAAACTATAATAATAGATACTGGAAAACTAGCCAGGTCTCAAGCATTTCCATCTTGTCAGCTTACCCTATAAGCTCAGAGGGCTTTGTGGAAATAACCCAGAGAAACAACTCTTACACAAGGGCTATTTCCTTGATAGAAGCACAATAGAATTCCTTAAGGATCAGTGTTGCCTGATTGCTGGAAGGGTTGCAAGTGGAGAGTCCTCAAGTCCAGTTTGTAGTGGCAAAGGGAGCATGAGCTTTCCCTGAAGTCTCTAAGATAAACACAAGCTTGGATTTTTCTCCTCCAAAATACATTATCTAGGAGAATATGAGCTCTGAGGGGAAAAAAACATAATAAATGTGAAGAAAACAATGACTATAAACATACACACAGTAGGGGACAAATAACAATTTTAAAATATCTTAAGGAAGTAGAAGGCTATTGCTACATGAAGCAGGAAAAACAAGTTATCAAAAAGGACTTTGGTATTTATCCAAAAGGACTAAAATTAGCATACTATAGTGATACAGCCTCGTCAATGTTTATAGTAGCACAACTCAAAAGAGCAAAGTTAGAACCAACACAGGTGCTCAACATTAGATGAATGAATTAGGAAAACGTGGTATATGTACATAGTGTAGTTTTATTTATAGCCATAAAGAGTAATGAAATTATGGCATTTGCCAGTAAATGAATGGAACTGGAAAACATTATACTAAATGAAATAAGCCAGACTCAGAAAATCAAGGGTTGAATGTTTTCTTTTACATGAAGA